AGTGTGAGTGTCTGAGAGAGTTGAGAGGAAGCTTTATGGCATTTTATGACCTCACTCAGAAGTCATGCATCACTTCCACTTCATTCTATTTGTGAGAAGTGATTTGAGAGTGCAGTTAGACTACTTTTAGACAAGGGAATTGCCAAAGACCTTGTGGACATGTTTATAAACTATAGACTCACTGGGTGTTTGTACTCTGTCTTTACTCTCTTGATGGGTAGAGGTCTCCTTTAGATCCTTCCTTGGAGATCCAAGAGAAGGTTAGGCCTGGAGAGCTACTCAAAGAGGAACAGTTATTCAGGGTCTTGAATTAAAAATACTTGGGTTTGACTCCTAATTCTGCCACTCATTTTTTATGGGGGGGTACTGGGGTTTGAACTCAGGGCCCCATGCTTGCTTCACAGATGCTCTCCCATTTGAGCCACTCCACCAGCCCCTCATCTGTCATTTACCAGCTTCTATGTTCTTGGGTAAATCTCATTTTTTTTCATTCATAAAATAATATTATTTATTAATTTTTCTTTTGTGGTACTAGGGTTTGAACTCAGGGTCTACACCTTGAGCCACTCCACCAGTCTTTTTTTTGTGTTGAATACTTTTGAGATACGGTCTTGAAAACTATTTGCTTAGGTTGGCTTTGAACTGAGATCCTCCTGATCTCTGCCTCCTGAGTAGGTAGGATTACAGGCATGAGCCACAGCACCCAGCAAGTAGTATGATCTTATTCATGGTGTTATTCTAAGGATTAGATGAGTTCATAGATGTGTTACATGAATTCTGGTATATATTAGTATATAATAAATACCCCATAAGTATTCACTAGTGCATATGTCACTTTTCTTTTTCAGTACTGAGGTTTGAACTCAGGATCTACACCTTGAGTCACTCTGCCAGCCCTTTTTGTGATGGGTTTTTTGAGATAGGGTCTAGCAAACTCTTTGCCTGGGCTGGCTTTGAACCTCAGTCCTCCTGATCTCTGCCTCCTGAGTAGCTAGGATTACAGGCATAAGCCCCTGGTGCCTGTCATGCATATACGTTTATTCAACAATATTTATTAAACTTTAACTCTTTTCAAAAATTTATTTGTTTGTTTATTTATTTTGGCAATGCTAGAGATGGAACCCAGGGCCTTATGAATGCTAGGCAAGCACTGTCTCATGAGCTATGTCTGGAGCCCAGTGAATTCAGTTTTAGGTGAGCTCTGGGCTAAGTTATAGATGCTGGGGTTATGCAAGTGATTATGAAGGGGTTGGAGCTTCCAGGAACCTAAAGCTTAGAGGGAGACATTATTTTTGCATGTTGAGAGTCCGGGCTTTGGAGTCAGCCAGACCGGACTCTCATTTTGAGTTTGCCCCTAGTTTCTAGCTGTGGGACCAATCCTGGACCAATCTTTCACTTCCTTTTTTTGTTTTTAGACCAAATCATCTCAGCCTCCAGAGTCTCCCAAGTGCTAGGATTACAGGCATGCATCACCACACCTGGTCAATCTTTCACTTCCTAAGCCTTAGTTTCCTTGGTTGTAAAGTGAGAATTATAATACTCACTTCACTGGCTTCTGGAAAGGATTAAACTGAGATAATTTATGTAAGATGCCTGGTATAGTTCCTGGAACATAGTATTTGCTTAATAAATGTTAATTATTAATTTCATTTGTCAGGAAGTAGGCAAATAAATGGATGCATTACAGTTCAAGGTGGTATATGTTATTCTAGACAGGGAAACAACCTGCTGAGGCTGTCTGGCAGAAGAGATTAACTTTACCAGGAAGGATCTAGAAAGGCCCTGAGGAGGTGGTGTGGGAACAGGGCATTGAAGAGTGAGTAAGAGTTCTCTAGTAGGGAGTGTGAAAAGGGGAAGATACTCCAGTGGAAGGAAGAATACCCACAAAGTCACAGAAGGTGCTTCCAAGTTCAGGGGAATGTGGTAAATTCAGTGTGGGAGCTTCGAGTGTGTGGGGTAAGGCCAGCTGATGGAGTTCAGGTCAGACTTTGGAGGATTTTCTAAGTCAAATCAAGAGGTGGGTAAAGAAAGAACATCCACTGAGTTACTGGGGTTTGAACTCAGGACTTTGCTCTTGCTAGGCAGGTGATCTACCATTTGAGCCACTCCACCAGTCCCAGCAGTAGAGTTGTTTAAGCACACTATGACATGATTGACTAAGTTTTAGGGTGGTGTCCGTGTCAGCAAGGGGAAGGATGGAAAGGAGTGAGGAGAGAATAGTCAGATGGCTGAAGTAGTGGCCCAAGAGAAAGAAACTACAGTATTGAACCATGGGGGAGTGCTGCAGAAGTGTGGAAAAAGGGCAGCTGTAGGGCTGGGGAGTTTCTATAGATGGAACAGATAGGCTCAGGGGTAGATTTTGTGAACCATGGGAAGGGCTGTGAGCTTCTGAGCTGTCAGGGATGGAAGGCAGGGTTTGAGAAGATGGATAAAGCTGAGTTGTGAAATCTAAAATCCTGGCTCTGAACCACCTGGTTCTGAGCACCTGGGTGATCTTGTAATTGTAGTATTATTTTGGCCTGAGGTTTTTTTCTTTTCTAGCTGTGGGACCAGTCTTGGACCAATCTTTCACTTCTTTTTTTTTTTTTTTTATTGTGGGACTGGGGCTTGAACTCAGGGCCTACACCTTGAGTCACTCCACCAGCCCTTTTTGGGTTTTTTTTTTTTTCTATGAACTATTTGCCAGGGTTGGCTTTGAACCTCAATTCTTCTGATCTCTGCCTCCCGAGTAGCTAGGATTATAGGCATGGACCTCTGGTGCCCAGCTCTTTTTTTTTTTACATTAAAAGCAGTCCAGTTTTATTCATTAAAACAAAGTTCATATATAGAACCCTTAAATTAAACTGGGATCTTTTTGTTTTTGTTGAGATGGGTTCTCACTATGTTGCCCAGACTGGCCTTGAACTCAAAATTCTCCGGTTTCAGTCTTCCCAGTGGCAGGGATTATAGGCATGTTCTACTACTGTGTCTGGCTTGACCTTAGTTTTCTATCAGTGGATAATATGGGCTCTTCTATCTGCTATGCATGATTGTTGTGAGAAGGAAAAGAGGCAAGGAGCTGGGCATGATGGCACAAGCCTATAATCCTAGCATTCAAGAGGCAAAGGCAGGAGAATTAAGAGGCCAGGGAGTTAGAGGTCAGCCGGAGCTACCCTGTCTAAAAAACAAAACCAAACAAAAACAACAAACAAAGCCAAGGAATGAGCATGTGTTTTGTCAGCAATAAATCACTAAACATTAGACACTTTGGTATCAGGGAGCCAGTCAACTGCATGGGATACATAAACTAAAAGAGAATTTTAGTCCAGGTGGGGGATATCTGTTACCTGTTCTGCACTAAGGTTGTGACCAATGCATACAAATAAATATAACCATTTCACCACTGGTCTGGTTCTCCTGGGCAAGGGGAGGCTCAAGCCCACCAGCAGTGATCCTACCAGTTGTTCTCTATAGAAGGCCTCACCTCTCACTTGGAAAAAGAGGTGGTGGCTGGAAGTATAGCTCAGTGGTAGAGTATATGCTTGGGATGTGCGAGGTCCTGGGTTCTACTCCCAACACCACATGCACATAAAGATGGACATGAGGTGGTTCAAGAGGACTGAGTCTAGAGGCTTTGGACAGGTCTTGGGCATCTCGGGAGCCATGTGAAGTTGTGAGTAAAAGTTTGGGCTGTGTATTTCTGGGGCTCGAACCCACAGTCTTTGCCAAACTCTCAGAAGGATCTGTGACCCACACAAGGTTAATAGTTATTGATTTTTCTCACCAGAAACTAATAAAAACAGCTATTTTAAGAGAGAAGGACTGATGCAGGCAGGAGGGGAATATTTTCATGTAAAATTTCAACCTTCCTGAACTGTTTAAACATGCATTAGTTTTATTGAAAAAAATTTGTCATTAGGTTTACCTGGGTGGTAAGACAATGGCCCTTTTTAGACTTTATCTTTATCTCTCTGTGTTAAACACAACAAATGCAAATATGAGTAAATGATGTTTTTAAAAACCTTTATAGTATCAACACACAAAACCACTCCATTAGGTAAAGTTCATCTTCTATTATATAAGGCAAAATGTCTACAATTTCTATGAACTACTGGTTTCAACTTAGTGAAACTTGTATACAAGAAGACAGGTGGAAAAGAAAAAGACAGTTTCAAGTACTTCAACTCAGATGTATAGAAATGTCAAATACTGTGTATACGTGTCAGTCTTCATACATACACTCCCTACATTTCTATGTACCAGCCAATGGGTTTGATGTTTGAAGCGATGGAGCAGAGGACCGAGTTATATCCACTCCCTTCTCCCCACGCAATCTAGTAATTACTCTATTTCCACGTCATGTTTCCGGGTGTGCACGGCCCGACTCACACAGAAACTGAAGTTCAAAGCAGGCAAGAGTCACCCATGTTCTTTTTGTTGTCCTCCAAAACCCAATTCAGAAGTTGGGCCCCCGAGATCTGGTGATACCTGGGAATTGCCTAGCTGGTTGAGTCCCACGTGGTAAGAGGCTCTCAACCTCGCCTCCACGTGGTGCCAAGGGCCGGGAAAAGGGAGAGCGGGCAGGAGCGAGCCGTATCAGGGCATTTAAAGTGTCTTGACGTCACGCACTGCCAGGAACTCAGCTGAGTTTTCAGCAGGACATTCCGGGCATCTTCCCTCCCTCCCCCGGGCTTCTGTGCCCAAGGCCTTGGCTCTTCCCTTGCTGTTGCGGAGGGAGGAGCACTAAGCCCCTGGAACAGCCAGCACAGGGGGCGTCCCCGGCCTTCTCTAAACTCCGCCCTTCCTCCTAGCGGCTCTTCTCATTGGTCAGCGGATAGGGCTTCGGGCGTACAGAGTACGCACCGGGGCCTTGGGGTGGCCAAACAAGCCGGCCGTCTCATGAATTATGCATATAGGCGTGTCTTGACCAGCCTGGGCTGGGTGGGGATTGGCTGGAGGGGCTGTAATTCAGCGGTTTCCGGAGCTGCGGCGGTGTAGACAGGGAGGGGGGAGCCTGGGGTTCCGACGTCGCAGCGGAGGAAAAGAGCCCCAACCAGATCCTTGACGAGCAACCCCACTTGGCGCTGCCTCTCCGCGTTTGTTAGGAGAGGCCCGGCAGCCCGAGGGAGCCCCGCCGCCCGCACCCGGCGCAAGCGCAGCCCGGCCTGTCGGGCCTCAGCCGGAGAAACAGGTGAAGGGGGCGTAGGGTGGGGCCGCCTCCCCCGATGGCACGCAGGCCTGGGGACCCCGGGGTACGCCACCCGGGCTGGGAGCTTTTGGGGTGTTTGGGAGGGAGTTGCGAATGGACACTTCAGTGGGGCGAGGAGTATGAGGACATACGGAGGGTCTTCCTGAAGGGACAACTCCCCGGGATGACAGGAGCGGGCCTTGGAAAGGAGTGGGGCTCTTGGAAGGAACTTTGGATCTGGAGAGAAAAGGGAGATGCGGAGGGAGAGTAATAATGAGCTCAAGGGGTAGAACCTTGGGGCTGAGGGTGGCACGAGTGAGGGACAGCCCCCTGACTTCCTGCTCCCTGGGGCTCTGGGGACGTTCCGGCCACTGGAGTGACTGTCACGCCGGCGATCACTTGGTGATGGTGGTGGTGGAGGAGGGGGGGGTGGTTGGAAAGAGTCTCCTCCCTGCCCCGGTGACGGGCCCAGTGGCTCCCGCTCCCAGCAAAGCCACTTTCTCCGCCATGCCCTGCTCCCGCTCCTTCAGGAGCCAGTTGTGCCCCTCCGCAGGTAGGAATAGGTATCCGCCTCAGGAGCTGGCTGTTGTGGGTACGATTATTGCGTAAGAATCAAGTTTCCTGTAGGGAAATTGACAGGCTTGCCCTCTTTCTAAATTCTCTCCCACCCTTTTCTAGGTTAAGCTGTGCTTTTCTCCACCTTGTTAAAAAAATTATAAAAGACACAACTCCCCGGTCAAACCAGCTTTAGAGAGCAACAACCCTTTTTCCTCTTTGACATTGTCCTTTTATAAACACCTGGTAAACTCGACTAGATGATAAAGAATTGAGCCATTGCGTTTACTGGATTGTGGTGTTGCTTAATTGCATAGGACGGAATGAACCAATCAAGAGTGGGAGTTTCCTGTCTCAGAGCCAAGATCTTGGGTAAATGCAGAAGAGAGGGAAACAAAGACAGGCTGGCCTTGGCTGAGCTGTGTATGCAAACTTTACCTGTTGGGGGTGTGGTTGTACTTAATAAAATTCAAACTGTCACTGAGGTTGCTTTTTTTTTTTTTTCATGTTTAGTACACATCACTCTATCAGGTTGTGTATGTGTGTTAGCACAATCAGTGGTTAGTCATTTTTTCTTTTAAAAGCACGTAGTGTGTACCTGCTGGTTTGTATATCTAAAAGGATTTATTTATTCTGTATATAGATTGTAACTTTTGGACTTGCTGTGCTGATAAAGCACTGGTTTAAATAAATCAAAGTAGTGTGTGAAGTTAGACTGTGTTACGTCTTGATTCAGCCAATTTTCTGTTTTATTTTATATTAACTATATCTGTTTCCTGAGTCAACACATTTGTTTCCTTATTGCATGTGTCATACTCCAGCACTAGCAGGATTTTTTGCTCAGGCATTTGTACAGTGGGATGGGGAAGGAAATTTGGGGGGAGGGGAGGAAATGGAAATAGAGTAACAAATCTTACTCTATTTGTTAGCATACCTGCCACAAAGAACCATTAACATCTTTTATTTTTATATGTATTTCATTTGGGAAGCATACCCATTTAGAAATAACCCACAGTATGAGTTGACCCACAAGGGTTTGTGAAGTAGGTAGCTCCCATAACATTAACCTGATCTGTTTTCACAGAATCTATTTTGTAGATAAGAAAATTTAAGCCAAAGGGGCAAGACATTTTACCCAAGGCAGCAGAGTGTCATAGTGTTGAAACTTGTGTTTTCTGTATATTTCTTGTTCTTTTCTGATGATGCTTAAGTATTGGATCATGATTTAGAGTGAGTGTAGTCCTTGCTGGGAAAGTGTCAATAAAACTACCATATGTCAGGAGAGTGAAATACCACCAGTAACCTGAAAGACTCAATGGGAGGTAAATACTCAACAAACAGATTAAAAAAAGAAATACAAATAGGACTGGTTTAGGCTGTTTTCTATCTAACTTCTATGTCTAACTTGGGAAGCAACTGGTCTTTGTCAGCATAATTTAACATCAGAATTTAGCTATTTACTAAAGGAGATGTTTAGGCAAGTTTTAGGTAAAGGGCAGTTGTGACCTAAATGTCATTTAAACCAGAGTGCCTTGTGGCTTGATCAGTGGTCATTTGTGTCTCCAGAAAGTTGCCTTTTCCTTCCTGCCTCTAACACATCTTGACATTTAGCTGTGAGGTAGGCAGAAGTAGTGAGAATCATTCCAGATACTTCAACCCACTAGATTTTTAGCTGATGTCTTCTGAAAGCTGGTGTGCAAGTCAACAAACATCAACTTTTTCCAACTTTGTGGAAAGTTGTTATGAAGCATAAGATGTGTCTTGTTTACAGAATTTGCAGTCTACTTGGGGCACCTTGATAAATGCTTTAACCATTATCCTATGCAACAATGTCATCAAAGAGATAGTGAGGCATTCCACCTGTGCTGCCCACCAAAGTAGCTATTATATATAAAAGAACATATGGTACAGATATAGGACATTTCTATTATTGTAGAAAGTTTTTTTGTTTGTTTTCTTCTTTATTGTAGAAAATTTTATCAGACAGTGCGACACTGAACACTAAATGTCTTAAGAGGAAGGAGAGGTTGTGAGGCTTGGAGTTGTTTAGGAAGTCTTTTTGCCAGAGAAGTGATTTGAACTGGGTCCCAAATAATGGTGTTTAGGATGGTAAGTAGAGAAGGAGGAATGCCTACTTATAAAAGGTCTGGAGGAGCTGGGAATATGGCTCAGTGATAGAGCCCTTGCCTAGGCTGCCTAATACTGTGCTAGTTCCATCCTCAGGAACTCAAAACAAAACAAAACAAAACAAAAAAAACCTAAAAACTCCCCTGTCCTAGGGGAGTTGCCACTTGAGTCTGACCTTACAAACTGGGCCAGCATGCAAAAAAGAGGTGTCTTCACTTATTTGGTAATTTGTATTAAAAAAAAAAAAAAACCAAAAAACAGAGTGCTTAAGTGCAGAAGTATTTTTTTTTTTTTGAGGATTTTCGATTATCTATAAATCATCACCCTCTCTTGCTCCCTTCCTTCCTTCTTTTCTTCCTTTCTTTTTTGCAGTGATGGGGTTGGAACCCAGGGGTTCATGCGTGCTAGGCAAGTGCTCTACCACTGAACCACACTCTGAATCCCAGCACTCACATTTTATATCATATTTTGAGTTTTTTTCTTTCTTTTTTTTTTGCCATTACTTTTGGATCATTTGTTTAAAAAATCACCTAAAGAGCACTCAAGGGACAACTTCAAATCCTGAAGTGTTCATGGGCTATCTCGGTTTTTGGATCATATTTTGAGTTTTTTTCTTTTCTTTTTTTTTTTTGCCATTACTTTTGGATCATTTGTTTAAAAAATCACCTAAAGAGCACTCAAGGGACAACTTCAAATCCTAAAGTGTTCATGGGCTATCTCGGTTTTTGGATGTGAAAATAATTAATATTGTACTCACACACTTGTTGCTAGGAACCTTGGTTGACGGTGGTGCACTATAGTTAGGATGACCAGATAGTATTTTATGGTAAATTGCATGAAATGTGTCCAATTGTTCAAAGAAATAACATTTGGAAGAATGAATTTCTACTATGATCAATTCTCATTTTTCATATTAGGATTATCACAGCTATATATTCAGAGAAGCAAGCATATTATATATTAAAAGCTAGTCAGGATCCAAGGATAATGAAGTATCATCCCTGATTTCACAAACTAGAGATGTGGTAGGGAACAGAGCATGTGTTGTTCCGGTATGGACTTAGGACAGGGGAGATGACGGGAGTGGTTCAAGACTCAGGCTTTGGAATCAAAGAGATCTGGAGTTGGATCCTAGATCTGCTTCTTCCTAGTCGGAATCCGAGCCTCAGTTTTCTTAACTGTAAAAAGGATGATGACAACTGGGTGTGGTGGTGTGCTCCTGGAATCCCAGCACTTGGGAGACTGAAGCAGGAGGATTGAGAGTTCAATGTTAGACTTGGCTATGTAGTGACATGCTGTCTCAAACAAAACAAAACAAAACAAACACACAAAAAATTCAGTAAGATAATGCAGATGAAATGCTTAGTAAAAACTCAGTAAACTGAATGTCCAAGAAAAGAGATTGTTCTTTTCAGGGGCGAGAAACAGGCCTTATAAAGCAGCTTTGTCAGGCAGGAACACCTAAATAGGGTTTTGTCAGATGAATGAGAATTCTGACAAAGTTGAGTAGTAAACAGTTACATGAAGGCAGAAGCTTAAAACAGCATGGTGTATTCAGGAGCTATAAGTAGAAGTTCTTAATTTAGGAGAACTAAACTGAGAGGAAAGGAGGCCACAGAGCCACATCTCTTAGTCCTTCTCTTCTGTTAATAATTGAGTTTAAAGGTTATTAAATAAGTTATTTTGTCCTTTTAATAAAAGTTATATTGAAAGTTTTTATTAACACTTTTTATTAAAAGGGTTTAAACTTGTTTTCCTGCTTAATAGTTGTGTGTATTTCTCTAGAGTTTTTGCACATTTTTTTATTTATCACCTTACCTTAGACATATTTATTTTTAAATTCCTTTTACCAGCTTAACAAAAGAATAATAAAGGAAGGTAAATTGGTCCCCAAAAGAAAATAATGTTTCTGGCTTTCCTTCCTGCTTAGTCCCATCTGTAGTAATGAATGACTTTACTAACCACTGAACAGTTTTCCTGACCTTTGACCTTTTAATTGCATCAGCTGGGGAACCCATATTTTGAGCTTTCCTAAGGTAACTATTATTGTAGTGTCAAAATACTTAGGCAGTGAGTCTGAGGGTTTCATGGTCCACAGTTGCTATAGGAGTTAATGAAGTGCTATGAGCCAGACCCCTGGGATTTTTGGATTTAACATCTCTTAGACCTTGGAGTGGTTGCTTTAACTTCTTCAGGTTTCAGTTTCTGTATTCCCAAACCATGGCTACCATGTCCACTTACAGAGTAGTTGTTGAGGATTAAGTAAGACATTGCATATATTGTACAATAAATTACTTTGCATGGTGCCTGGCAGATAGCTA